ACACTGTGTGAGGCAGACCACATCATGTAGACAGCCAGTCACCCTGTGTGAGCAGACCACATCATGTAGACAGCCAGTCACCTGTGTGAGGCAGACCACATCATGTAGACAGCCAGTCACCCTGTGTGAGGCAGACCACATCATGTAGACAGCCAGTCACCCCTGTGAGAGGCAGACACATCATGTAGACAGCCAGTCACCCTGTGTGAGGCAGACCACATCATGTAGACAGCCAGTCACCCTGTGAGGCAGACCACTTCATGTAGACAGTCCAGTCCCCTGTGTGAGGCAGACCACATCATGTAGACAGCCAGTCACCCTGTGTGAGGCAGACCATCATGTAGACAGCCAGTCACCTGTGAGGCAGACCACATCATGTAGACAGCCAGTCACCCTGTGTGAGGCCGACCACATCATGTAGACACCAGTCACCCTGTGTGAGGCAGACCACTTCATGTAGACAGCCAGTCCCCTGTGTGAGGCAGGACCACATCATGTAGACAAGCCAGTCTCCACTGTGTGAGGCAGACCACATCATGTAGACAGCAGTCACCCTGGTGAGGCAGAGCCACATCATGTAGACTAGGCAGTCATCCCTGTGTGAGGCAGACCACATCATGTAGGACAGCCAGTCACCCTGTGTGATGAGGCAGAGCCCACTCATGAGACAGCCAGCCACCCCTGTGTGAGGCAGACCACATCATGTAGACAGTCCATTCAGTCTCCCGTGTGAGGCAGGCCACATCATGTAAGTCCCTGAGGCAGGACCACATCATGTAGACAGCCAGTCACCCTGTGTGAGGCAGACCACATCATGTAGACAGCCAGTCACCCTGTGTGAGGCAGACCACATCATGTAGACAGCCAGTCACCCTGTGTGAGGCAGACCACATCATGTAGACAGCCAGTCACCCTGTGTGAGGCAGACCCACATCATGTAGACAGCCAGTCACCCTGTGTGAGGCAGACCACTTAACAGGCTTGGCCATCGAGAAACCCCCTGGTCCTCCCGATGGACAGTCCGGGACTGGGTACAGGAGGCGTAGCACGAGGGATCATTGTCCACAAGTTACTCGATCGCAGATGGCGTCGTGGTCACGGACGAATAAAAAAACTAATAAAAACAACAAAAAAACTAAATGGGTCGCGAAATATACTTGGGTGGCCGTTAATATACCTGGGCGGCCCGCCCAAGTATAGTCTATGTGTGGGAAACCCTGACACGTTTATAGGATCATTATAGTTATAAAAAAATAAGAGAATAAATGAAAAACAGGTTTCAAATACTATGACAGTAAAAAAAGAATAACGTTTAAAAGGGTGATTTGTAAAATATCCATAAAGAAAAAGTAAATCTGTTTACAGTTCTGTTTCATCTGGGTGTTGAGAGGTATCCATAGATCTCTTCATTTTGCTCTCAAAGTGCACCAGATTGATGCTTTTAACTTCAATATTTAAAAAAAAAACCTCCAGGGGGAGCTTGCCCCCAGACCCCCCTATGTGAGGTCCACTCCCCACTTATAAAAATAGCACTTGACCCCTGCTTACACCTATATGCCGTGAGCTGATATCGAGCCTTCATTGTAACAGTCGCGGGTACACTGTGTATTTGTGTGGGGAGTGTTGCAGTAGAACATTCAACTGTAGCGCCCGGTACATTAATGGGAAACCCTAAATGTTTGAGCACCCTCTATGAAACATCAAGCTACCCCACAGCACCCCCAAAATAAATCTCTGGCACCGCCACTGAGCCTGCAACCCCGTTCTGAAGAAATGTGCAGTGCCAAACAGGCTCATTGCAGCCACTAATGTGAGAAGACACACTTTTTTGCCAAATATCAGAATTTTCTTTCTTTTCATTTTTTTGCACAGATTGCAAAGTGGCAAAGTATAATAACTTATTGTTCTAGCAAAGGGATTGCACAATTGTATTATGTATTTATTTGTTTGACCACACAGACGTATGGAGTATTGTTTTATTATCACTGTTCTAGCAAAGGAATGCTCACGTTCATATTGATGTATTTTAATAAAAATGTTAACTTGGCCCATTACGTGACTATTTGTGTTGGGGGGGCCCAACTTTTTTTTTTCTCCAAAGGGGGGGCCTGACAGAAATGTTTGAGAACCACTGCCCTAGTAGGACAGTCAGTAGGGTATAATGAGCTCTTTAAGATGGCGCCTGCCCATTAAGGGCTTTGTAGGCGAGATGAAGAATTTTAAATTCTATCCTGTGTTCTATAGGGAGCCAGTGTAAGGCAGCCAGAACAGGAGTAATGTGGTCCCTTTTCCTAACTCTGGTTAGTACACGAGCTGCAGCATTTTGAATCAGCTGAAGCGACTTGACTGACTTCTTGGTACACTCTGATAATAAAGAGTTACAATAATCCAGCCTTGAAGTAACAAATGCATGGACTAGTTTCTCTGCATCGTTTTGAGGCAAGATATGCCTGATTTTTGCAATGTTACGTAGATGGAAGTAGGCGGTCCTTGAAATTGATTTTATGTGGGCGTTAAAGGATAAATCCTGATCAAATATAACACCAAGATTCCTTACAGTCTCACTGGAGGCCAAATTAATGCCATCCATAGTTAGTATATCCTTAGATCATTTGTTTCGTAGGGCGTACAATAACTTCAGTTTTGTCCGTGTTTAACATAAAAAAATGTAAGGTCATCAAAGTTTTTAAGTCCTTGGAGCAGTTGAATTGATATGATTGGTTTCATCAGGCTTGATGGATGAATATAATGAAGTATCTGATGCTGGATATCTCACAGAGATACCCTGATGTTTAGTCCTCAGTATGGGACTCACACGTCAATACACTGAATCAGTCAGTTTTACAGTTTGCCTCTTATTCACACACTCAGATTGACCTTACGCCTCTCGGTTATTTGATGATCGCTCCAGCTCCTGAGACACAAAAGCCGCATGTAGGCTGTTCTTTCTCTGGGTTTGAGTTCTTAACAATGGTTGTTGTGAATATGCTGAAAACCAGAAATGAAGACAGTAAAATTCAGGGTTGATATTGTCATTTTTTATTTCATTAATACATTTTTCATAACAGGCCAAACATCCTGGATGTGATCACACAGCTGTGAAGTTTGATAGAGCTATGTCTGTGTGCCGAGCCAGACTAAACAACGTTTACTGGATTAAAAATAACACAATTAAAATCCATATCAGTCCTCAGAAAGTCGGACTGTTCCTCTGATGCTTCGGTCCTTTATAATGACCTCACTATACATTTGTTAGTGACGTTTTGTGGAGTTGGTTTCATGTTTTGTCTGAAGAACAGGAAAGAGTTGTGCTGCTGAACACCGTCCTCGTGATGTGGAGTTATCTGGCCATCATCACACATAACCATTTCCCTCCCTGCTTATCACTTCCTGCCAAACACAGGGAAACTCCTAACACACACACACACACACACACACACACACACACACACACACACACACACACACACACACACACACACACACACACACACACACACACACACACACACACACACACACACACACACACACACACACACACACACACACACTCTTCTCATTTAAAAAAAGGCTACAGAATAAAGCATATATCTCAGCAGAGTGGAAGGGTGTCTCCAGGATTGAAGATATTGTGTTGTGGGTTTTTAAAAACTTGAACTACAATGTCAATCCAGTCCTTGGTTAAAATAATTGTAACGTTGCATGAACAGTGAGCTGTGTATAGTGGTGACCATGTGGAAACTACATACATGCTGTCAGTTCTGATTCATCAAAATGCCTTAAATATCAAACCCATTTGAAGAGCGAGTATATCGATGCTGTGAGGCTGAGGAACAGCTCCTGGTGCTGAAATAATGAACTATTTCAAACCTCTGTTGTAACCAAAAGAGACGAGCCTCTTTCAAACAAACATGACTGAAATAAAGGCCAACAGCTTCGTACTATGAGTGATGGGACAGATGATATGCGGTCCCTGTGTGTTAATGGGACTCAAATCAGGATATCTCTGCCATGAACGCTCTGCTTGCGAACATGTGTTCTGTATGTCCGAGCTGGTGCCCCCTCTACTGGACAATGACTGATCAAGTTTTAAGAATTGAAACATTTAGTGTGTTGTCTGATCATGTTGCAGGCTGTAAGAAACATATCAGGACTGTAGACATTTACTCTAAATGTCCTCTTGTTTCATTTAGACAAAGTAAATGCTGTTGTTACACAGTTGTTCATGGGATCTGAATATGTGTTACTATCTTTAACATCCATGGTCTGAGTGGAGAAGCAGCTGAGGCCTGTGAGCCTCAAGAGGCACACTACAGTTTTGATGATACGATCAGTTTGAGGTGAATCATGTGTGTGTGAGAGGTCGCCAGGAACAACAATCAGGGTCCCATGGCCTATCAGAGATCACGGGCTCGCCCTGCTTATCTCAGTCTCTGCTCGGTGTGCCAGGATGTTGACTTCCACTGCTGTTGTTTCCAGAGCCTCGTGTCAGATGTTCACAATCCATAAGTGTAACATATGCAGTAAATATTAGCAGATCCAACTGTGAGCACAGGGGGTTTTTTGTCCTGAAGCAGCAACATTTACCCATGATCCTTTAACATGGTCGGAGAGTTTGGGAATAAAAAAAGAGATAACAGAAAGTGCGGTGGTAATAACACCTTGATCCATTTGAGCCCCATCAAGGACTGCAGGGCTTTCCAACACTATAGTGTGTCATATTATCTATAACTATATTACATATCTGCCAACAGACACATAGGCTACTCCTACTGTCATACCTCTGGCGTCACCACTTATATAAATGGATTATTTGCAGAGACATTGGTATCACTTACCCACTGTGTGTGATCCTGTGCGTGTGTGTGCATATGCGAGTGCGTGCGTGCGTGCGTGTGAGAGAGAGAGAGAGAGAGAGAGAGAGAGAGAGAGAGAGAGAGAGAGAGAGAGAGAGAGAGAGAGAGAGAGAGAGAGAGAGAGAGAGAGAGAGAGAGAGACTGCCCCCCACAGCAGCTCGTCATTTTTAGCTCCAGCGCGTGCTGTCTGTCTGGAGTTCAGTTCCGCTCGGTCAGTGTGTGTCTGAGTGTTTGAGTGAGGGTGTCAGCTTGTTGTCAGCATTAGAGGACAGGTTACCGGGGGCGGTGTTGGTTCAGTTGTGGAGGAAATGGTCCCTGCAGGATGGACCGGAACACGGGTCCCGGCTGGCTCCCGGTCTGCGCGCTGCTCGCCCTGTTTGTGTGTGAGGTGAGCAGATATATACCGCTGTCACGGTTAATAGCACGGATTTAGCTCTATAAACTGCAAAGGACTGGTACTACAAGTATCTTAGAATGACTTGAGTATATCTACTTAGCTACTTTACACCACTGTTACAGGGTCTGTTCTCTTGTAATGTTAGTTTCAGTGAGATTACTCTTGGAGTGTGCAGTGGTGTTTAGTTAACTGTGTTTCGAAACACTCTTGGATCAAGTCTGATCAACAGTGTGGGTGCTTTTTTTAAATGCTTTTTTAAAATGATTTTAATCTAGTTTTTTTAACTCCAGAATAAATTGATGGTAGACCTACTTGTGGGTTATGAGCCCCTTTTTTTGTTGTTTTCACAGACTCTCAATATCGAATATGTATCTTTTCGAGGGTTAGGTTAGGCCGTTTAAAAAGTGGCGACAGATAACCCACTAAGTACCAAATTGATTATCCAACACCAAATCTTACAGATTGGACAGCCTGTGCAAATGGAAATGTTTCAGAGTTATATTTTACTTGGCTGTGGTTTCATCAGATGAGCTGACGGCTGTCCTGCCCCTGTGTTACACAGACTGTAACAGAGGAAAGGGGAGAATGTTTTTTCAGAGACTTTTCAGAGGTCTAACACGCAGTCTGAGTATTATGGGGTTGACTGGCTGTCAGCCTTAAGGCGTGTGAGGGTGTTCACATGTTTACTGTGAACGGTGTACAAGTACAACTTTATAAATAGTCTCACTCTGTGGTAATACGGGTACATGGTTCTTATTCCTGCACGTTTCACCAATTGAAACAGCTTCAGATTGATTGAAGCGGTTTCAGCACGGAGCTTAAAGTATTTGTTTCAGTTCAGATGTAATGTGCAGACAGTCTTTACGTGGCGGTAGGTCTGTTTTCTTCATATTACCAGCAGGTCAAAGTCTACACTCATTTGTTTTCATATCATATCATTCAGATCATTCTGTTAATCAGCTCCTTCAGGTAGGGCTGCTCTAGATGTTCCAAAGGACTTTACCCCCTAAACCCCCAGACCACCAATTAAATTACAAAAAGAAAACTACATTAAAGGGATTCTTTATAATGTAATCAGCAAGTGAGGGACAGACAGTGCCACACAGTCTTTGAAGGTAAAAAAAACAAACTGTTACTGCAATAACACACTTATAGAAATAATCCACCTTTAATATTCTATTGAAACCTATGACCTCTATTAATTGCATTATATCCCCTTTAAAAATGTATCACATGTCATCATAAGGTATAATAAGAGTAAAATGATATACAGCACTTCCTTTTGTTCATCAAAAAGAGTTTTAATAGAGTAGGAATATTATTTAGGATCCTAGTGGCCTGAGGCTGCTGCAACCTCCACAGGGAGAACAGTTCTCTGTAAACCACCTCATGAAACCGCCCCTCCCCTGCAGAGCAGCTGGCCCTGGAAGTAACTCAGTGCCACGCATAGAGCATGTCAGCTGTGGTCAGACACGGTATCCACACAGGTCAGTTTCACAGCAAGACATGTCCAAACACGTCAAACCAGTCCTGCAGCAACCAGCGTATCCACTGACCATCTTTATGCTCAGTATGTGTAACAAATGTGTTTGGTTTGGATTGCAGCGTTCATGACTCATTGTAAGTCACACAACATGTGTTCCTCACTGCTAACATGGACACAGTTGAGAAAACTATGGCACAGTCAGATCTAAAACACTATGGCACAGTCAATGTCTCCAGGTTCTCCAGAACCTCACATCAAAGTCCAGCTGTATACTAATGTTTGCTGCTTAATAACTCTTTCGAGCTATATATTTGTTCATGATGTTGTGTTTCTCCCGCAGGTCACTGAAGGTGGACACTTGAATATTGTGCAGAGACCAGGTAAGGGTCATCTTAAAGCTCACCTTTTATGCTATATTTGAACAATCTATTATAGGGCTATATCTTTACAAAACATGTATCTGAAGTGTTTTGCTCAAAATACCAAACAGATCACCCATTGGAGCATGCCTCATCCCCCTCTATTTCAGCCCTGTTACTAAAGTGCTGATTCTGGGTCTGGCCCTTTAAATGTAACCGAGCTGCTGCTGGCCACGCCCCTTTGGAGCTGCTGCTGGCCACGCCCCTTTGGAGCGTAGGCATGCAACCAGTGAGCTCTGTGAAGAGAAGGCTGTCTACCAGCAGAAACTCAGCTAAATGCCCTAACCCTTCCCCGGGAAACAAACACAATACACACAAACGCAAAAATACACAAACAATCACACACGTACACACACACTCGTGAGCTTCCCCCAGACCAGTAATCCAAATGAAAATATTTTCCCTCCATACTACTTTGATAATTTATTAGCCGCTAATAATCAATCAGATCGATGGATTCTAGAGAAGAGAAAACTTCTCAAAATGATGACTCTGTAACAGTCATTATATAATGCCACATATTTTGCTTAATATTTGGAGTACAACAACAATCCTGATATCATTAGAAAGCTAGGAATCTCCTACTTCCAACAGTGTACACCTATACAACTCAAAATGTGTCTTCGGCTCAATGCGACTGATTTCGATAGAGCAAGTCACATATTCTCTCCAGTACAGCGTTAGCTCTGAGTGTTAGCGATGCTTGCTAATGTAAACACAGACCATATTACTCCCAGAACAAATTGTGCATTGTTTCTGATACAGGATCATTTCTGATAGGGGATGATAGGTTGGGACGTGGGCGGGACGTTGCCAGGAGTTCAATGTAAAGCCAGCCCACATTTTAGTAACGTCGTCATGACCGCAGCAAATCTGGATCAGCTCCGTTGTTCCCCTGTTTTTAGAGATGTGTGAGTCTCCTTACACACGGGGGACACAGATTTATGTATAAAAGACACAACAACAAGTGCATTTTGCATAATAGGTGACCTTTACAGTCTTTATCCATGCGTCTCATTAGAAGCCAAACACCAATATCTATAAGATGAACAAGACATGTAGGGCTCAAAGTGGGCCTGTTGTTACAGGTACAAACACAACTTATATTTCTATTGTTAGGTCTGAATTCTGTTTTGTGTAATTTGTAGTCCCTTTTGATTGTCGGAATGTCAGATACAAGAAAAAGACAAACATTTGTAGATGGGTTATAATTTTATTCCAAAAGCATCATGATTTACACCTGACTGATGTTTTCCTATCTCAGTCACTGCGTGGCATGTGTGTAAAAAAAACAACATTTTAGCTGACTGTTCCGGCAGCAGCAGCAGCAGCAGCAGCAGCAGCCAGTCTGTGTCCAAACCCCTGTCTGTAACTCAGAGTCACAGTTAAGGCAGTGGAGGTCCTGCAGATTACCTGATTGTTACGTTCCCTCTTGGCTAGGGGTACATTACATTACATTACATTACATTGCATTTAGCTGACGCTTTTATCCAAAGCGACTTACAATAAGTACATTCGACCAGGAAGACACAACCTTGAAGAAAACAGAATCATATAAGTACATCAGGTTTCATAGAGCCAAACATTTCAAGTGCTACTCCACTGGCTTTAGGTAAGCCAGTCCTTTATTAGTATAATAGTGCTTCGTTAGTAGTTCTAACGCTCGAAGTGGAGTCGAAAGAGATGAGTTTTCAGTCTGCGCCGGAAGGTGTGTAAGCTTTCTGCTGTCCTGATGTCAATGGGGAGCTCATTCCACCATCTTGGAGCCAGGACAGCAAACCCACGTGTTTTCGCCGATGGGAACTTGGGTCCCCCTCGCAGCGAGGGCGCAACGAGTCGTTTGGCTGATGCAGAGCGTAGTGCACGCGCTGGGGTGTACGGTTTAACCATGTCCTGGATGTAGGAAGGGCCAGATCCATTCGCAGCATGGTAAGCAAGTACCATTGTCTTGAAGTGGATTCTATAGTTACCGGAAGCCAGTGAAGGGAGCGGAGGAGCGGAGTGGTGTGGGAAAATTTAGGAAGGTTGAAGACCAGACGAGCCGCTGCATTCTGGATGAGCTGCAGAGGTCGGATGGCACATGCAGGTAGACCAGCGAGGAGGGAGTTGCAGTAGTCTAGGCGTGAGATGACGAGAGCCTGGACCAGAACCTGAGTCGCTTTCTGGGTCAGCTGGGGACGTATCTTCCTGATGTTGTAAAGCGTGTATCTGCAGCAACGGGTTGTAGCAGCGATGTTTGCAGTGAAGGACAGGTTGTTATCTAGGGTCACACCCAGATTCCTTGCAGTCTGAGTCGGGGAAACAACTGAGGTGCCGATGTTGATTGTTAGGTCAAGAGTGGGACAATCTTTTCCCGGGAGGAAGAGCAGCTCAGTCTTGTCAAGGTTGAGCTTGAGGTGGTGAGCAGACATCCACTGAGAGATGTCAGCTAGACAAGCAGAGATGCGTGCAACGACCTGGGTCTCTGAGCGGGGAAAGGACAGAATTAATTGGGTGTCATCAGCGTAGCAGTGGTAAGAAAAACCATGCGGGCTAATGACTGATCCGAGCGAGTTTGTGTACACGGAGAAGAGGAGGGGACCAAGAACAGAGCCCTGAGGGACCCCCGTAGTTAATTGACAAGGGTCGGACTCAGACCCTCTCCAAGTCACCCTGTAGGTACGGTCTTTCAGGTATGAGGTGAGGAGGGAAAGTGCAGAGCCTGAAACTCCAAGTTTTTGGAGAGTGCGAAGGAGGATCTGATGATTCACCGTGTCGAATGCGGCAGACAGGTCCAATAGGATGATGACAGAGGAGAGGGATGCAGTTTTGGCAGTGTGCAGTTCCTCAGTGACAGCAATGAGAGCAGTTTCTGTGGAGTGACCTGCCTTGAAACCAGACTGGTGCGGATCCAGAAGGTTGTTCTGAGAGATAACAGGAGAGTTGTTTAAAGACAGCGCGTTCAAGTGATTTAGACAGGAACGGGAGGAGAGAGACAGGCCTGTAGTTTATAACATCAGACGGGTTGAGAGTGGGTTTCTTTAGGAGAGGGTTTACTCTTGCCTCCTTGAGACTGTTTGGAAAGTGACCAGAAGTTAGAGAAGTGTTGATGAAATGGGTGAGAAACGGTAGAATATCAGGAGCGATAGTCTGAAGGAGGTTTGAAGGGATAGGGTCCAGAGGACAGGTGGTAGGGCGGGCAGAGGTAATGAGGGTAAGAACCTCACTTGGAGAGAGAGGGGAAAAGGAGGTCAGTGTGTTGGTGGAAGGAGGGTCTGGTGACCCAGCGGTGAGTAAAGGTGAGTCAGAAAAAGAAGAGCGAATATCATCAACCTTTTTTTCAAAGTGGGTAACAAAGTCGCTTGACAGAAGTGAGGAGGGGGGAGGAGCTTTTGGAGGGTCCAAGAGGGTGGAGAAGATGGAAAATAGTTTTTTAGGATTGGAATAGGAAGATTGGATCTTATCTTGAAAGAAAGTGCTTTTTGCCTGAGAGATCGAAGCAGAGAAAGAGGAGAGGAGAGCTTGATAGGTTAGGAGGTCATCACGGTGTTTGGATTTCCACCATTTCCGCTCTGCTGCCCTAAGGACGGTTCTATTAGCACGCAGTGCATCATTTAGCCAGGGAGCCGGAGGGGACTGACGAGCCTGCCGAGATGTGAGAGGACAGAGCGAGTCCAGAGTGGATGAGAGAGTAGAGAGGAGAGTTTCTGCAGCAGAGTTTGGAGGCAGGAGATGGAACGAATCAGAGGAAGGGAGGGCTGAGAGCACCGACGAGGCAAAGGTAGGGGGGGAGAGGGAGCGAAGGTTACGGCAGACAAGTGCAGGATGGGAAGAGATTCGTTTGTTATGTTTGGAAAGGGATAGAGAGAATGAAATGAAGAAGTGATCGGATGTGTGGAGCGGGTTTACAGAGAGGTTAGAAGTAGAGCAGTTCCTTGAGAATATGAGATCAAGGACATTGCCAGCTTTATGAGTCGGTGGGGACGGAGACAGTGAGAAAGCAAAGGCGGTTAACAGAGATGTTAGTTCGTCTATCTTCCCCGTCTGGAGGTTGAAGTCTCCGAGAAGTACAGCGGGAGGGCCAGTTTCAGGGATGAGTGAGAGGAGATTATCTAATTCCTCCAAGAAGTCCCCCAAGGCGCCTGGTGGACGGTAGAGAACAACAATGGTTAACTGTATAGGATGGGTTACTGTGACGGCATGGAATTCAAAGGTGGAAGGAGTGAAGTTAGGTAGCTTGAAGACGGAAAAGCTCCATTTGGGAGAGAGCAGGAGACCAGTGCCACCTCCTCTGCCAGTGGGTCTGGGTGTATGGGAGAAGGAATATGCAGTGGAGAGAGCTGCTGGGGTGGATGTGTTGGATGGAGTAATCCAGGTCTCAGTGAGAGCAAGGAAATCCAGAGACTGCAGGGAGGCGTAGCCAGAGATGAAGTCAGCCTTAGGAACAGCTGACTGGCAGTTCCACAGGCCACCTGAAACTAGATGTTGGATCTCAGTGGAGCACGTGGGATAGACGAGAGCAGGCCGGTTATATCGATTAGGAGATACACGGGGCCAGTGATAATTGCGAGAAGACACATGAACAGGAATGGAGAAAATCCACATGATTATAGCATGAGGGGCTAGAAAACTAAAGAAAAGATAAATAAGACACCAGCTCAATCAGAGTAGGATTTGCCTCCTCTTTGCCTCCCTCGTGACTCCCGCAGGACTCCAATGTCTTTGTCAGTCTTAGAGACTCCCGCAGGACTCCAATGTCTTTGTCAGTCTTAGAGACTCCCGCAGGACTCCAATGTCTTTGTCAGTCTTCGGCTGTCTGACGCTGAAGCTGACGCTCCAAGAAAGAGCTACCCGAAATGGACGCCTGATTGCTCAGTTCACACAGCTGTAGGGCCACAGCCCTCTAATTAGTTAACTATCTACAGCTGATGGGCGACAGTAGACTGGCCGTGCCTATATTAATGCAGGCTTGAGTGCTGAGACCTGTAAAGCAGGTTTCGCCTGAGCAGATCTGAGATTTAAAATCTCTCAAACGCGATTCAGCCGTTAAAGCTACAATAACAATTTATACAGAGTCGAATAAATGAAACAGAGAAGTCTAATTAAACAAGAATATAACTTACAGTGGTTTCTGCGTCAATAGGTAATGTCCTTACCGGGTCCAGATGCACACTGAGTTCATCAGATTTTAAATGCGGTATTTAAATGCTTTTTAAGGTACACAATGACTGAGTCACGCGGTTGTACTTCACGCTATCAGTAGACTGGCCGTGCCTATATTAATGCAGGCTTGAGTGCTGAGACCTGTAAAGCAGGTTTCGCCTGAGCAGATCTGAGATTTAAAATCTCTCAAACGCGATTTAGCCGTTAAGCTACAATAACAATTTATACAGAGTCGAATAAATGAAACAGAGAAGTCTAATTGAACAAGAATATAACTTACAGTGGTTGCTGCGTCAATAGGTAATGTCGTTACAAATGTCGGGTACAAAGGGAAACGACACGACCAGATTGGATTTGGTAAATGTTACCGGTGGTTTATTTGTAACCCAAAACAATGAACACAATAATATACACACGAACAGCCTGGACCAACAACGGACCAAACTGTTACAGTTTAACAAAAAAAGGACTCCAAAAGAGAGTTGCACAGTATGCTACAAAAGAAAGAGAGTACCTCACTTCGAAAGTGGAACAAAACACTAAACAAAATGAGGCTGTGTGGGAACACAGCTGTTGCTGATCAACCGGTGCTAATCACCGGGGTCTAAGCAATAGTTTCACAAAGGCTGATCTACAGGCGCTAAGCTAACCTGGTTCTAAGCTGTTTCACAATGTCAATATCCTAAATGCGGTTCTACAGGAGCTAAGCAACCTGGATCTAAGCAATACACACACACAAACCCTACACTAAACACAGAATACTACGACACACTGCTAATCATGGTGCTCGCACAGAACCCTACTGAACACACTGCTAGGCAGTCTAACGAATCAAAGAATACACACTGCTAGGCAGTCTAAGGAATCACAGAATATGGCAATGTCACAATGCGAGGGTTGAGGCGTCTGTCACACAATACAGAGCCTCCCGAATGGTGTCCGTGCCCGGCCTTTATACTCCTCCCCCGGATGACGTGGCAGAAGCGGGCGGGGATTGGGTGACGTCCGTCCAATCACCGCGGATGTTACGAGGTCGGTACGGCCACTGACAGCATAGGAACCGCACAGCTCATTTACATACACACACACAAACAGGGTTAAGGGCACAAGGTAACAGCGGCTGTAACACTGATGGTTATGCTTCATGACTAATGGCAATGAGGCTCCCCCACTAATGGAAGCAGAGCCTCGCTGACTTCATGCCTGTCAGAAACTCCCACTAGATAATGGATGAGTTGTCGGTTCAGTATTTAATGCTTGGCAGCTGTGTTGCAGCCTACAAGCATCTATGTGCCAATAGAGAGGGATAGACTGTTTCAGTTATAAATCACGGTTGTGTGTTCTGGTTGCTATTAAGTGTCTTCCCTGCATTTCTTCATTGTCTTGTTAAACCACCATCTGCCCACCAGATGAACAGCTCATGTTTGACATGTACTCTATGTATACCAGCCTCATAAAACTGGTTTTTACCATCACTCCAGGATCCCATAACTCCAGGAGGAGTTCTGAAGCTCCTTCTGATCCTTGAAGTGTGAAAACTGTGACGATCCTAATGTCGACAAAAACAAAAGATCCTAATGTAGAAATAAAGCTAATAATCAGCAAGCACTACACAGTGAGCAGATGGATCGTCTAATCTAATGTGTACTCAGATCTGTTCTCAGCACATGTGACACACAGAGGTAGAATCATTTGACAGCCTTCGGTACTCCAACCCCTCAGAAACGTGATGCAAACTAGTTTCTTTTTTAGCATAATTCACCTTAAAGTGTAAAGATTCACTGGTGTCCTGGACGCCCTAATGTGCACGGCACACCATCTAAATCTTACTCTGCAACTCTGGTTACTGGACGGACCGAAATGTTCCCACTGTTTGTGGGACAAAATTCTTCAATGAGAGAAAGGACAATATAATATGTAGTCATGAAGCCATATAGATTTGGTAAATGTTTAATAATGATAATTGTTGTGGTTCCGGTAATGTGTGACTCACTGCTGTTCTGTACAGCTCCTCTCTCCTGTGCACATGGCTTCACAGAGCTGGGCTACTATAACGGCTCAGTCTCCCTCACGGAGTCTGGCTCCCCCTGCCTGAAATGGACAGACTTCCCAGACTACATGCGGCAGTACCCGGGCCGAGGCCTGGGCCCCCACAGCTTCTGCCGGAGCCCGGACCGAGAGGAGCAGCCCTGGTGCTTCATCAGGCAGAGCTCCGGAGCCATCGGCTGGGCCCACTGTGACTGCCACCAGGGTGAGCCGAGGGGCGGGGGTGTACATATGAACACATCCATATACAGCTCTGAACAAATGAAGAGTCCACTGCAGCAATATCAGTTTCTCTGGTTTTACTCTGTATTTTTATTCTATTCTCTAAACTACTGACCAAAATTCTCTGTGTTGGACTTTAACAGACACTGGAATGGAATGGCATTTCATAACGGGATAAAATCAAAGTGAATGGCCTGCTGCTGCTGAATGCATGGGGCAAGTGACTGGAAAAAGTTTTAAAAGTTATTACATAGTTTCAGATAATAATAATAATAATAATAATAATAATTAATTCTATTTAGAGGCGCCTTTCAAAGCACCCAAGGACACCTTACAATTCATAACATATTCTAAGGAAAGGTTTAAGTCAGTACAAAAGGACTGTAACAGGGAACATGTTGGGAAACAGGAGACATGTAGCACTACAGTGAGTAGGCTGATCTGAACAGGTGGGTTTTGAGGAGGGACGTGAATGTGGTGATTGTGTCAGACTGTCGGATGTGAAGGGGGAGAGAGTTCCATAGTTTGGAAGCAGCTAAAAGCCTGAGCTCCCATCGTGAATAAGCGTGGGGTGGGGACGGTTAGCAGGCCAGCAGAGGAGAAGCGGAGGGAGAGAGGGGGGGTGTAGGAGGTCAGCCAGATAGGTGGGGTTCAGGTTGTGGAGGGGTTTGAATGTGAGCAGGAGGGTTTGGAAGTCTATCCGGTATTTTACAGGTATCCAATGCAGACGGGTGAGGATGGGGGTGATGTGGTCAGAGGACTTGGTGCGGGTGATGATCCGGGCAGCAGAGTTCTGAATGATTTGGAGTTTATTGAGGAGTTTGATGGGAAGACCTGAGAGCATGGTGTAATGCATGGATAATCTCTGAATCTCAAAAACGTTGTGTTCTGACTCTGTCACGGACTGTGAGACACAATCTGCTGCCTCCAGCCTGAGCAATGACCAGTGCAATCAATATTCAAGCCACCAAACCTCTCTCTATGTATTGTAACTGGTTTACTTGTGTGTCATTTGCAGGTGCAGCAAGATTGGTGGGAGGGTCGTCAAGCACCAGCGGACGTGTGGAGGTCTATCTGAATGGCCAGTGGGGGGCAGCATGTGACTCGCACTGGAACGACCGGGATGCCAGCGTCATATGCAGGCAGCTAGGACTGGGGTGAGGGCTCCCACAGGGCACTAATTGTAACCATGGTTGTGAACAGCAATGATTCACTGCTCACAAAGCAACACAAAAAATCCAACTTTTTAGAAGTTCTGGTTTTAGTTTAAATCACTGCTTCTACTTTGGGCCCTAAAAGAGGAATTGGACTGGTTCAACTTGGTTTGTTGCAGTTTAGTTTTAGTCACCACAACACATAACATATACATTCATTTCCCCTCATATCGTACCTTAGTAACAGGTCTGATCAGCTAAAAAAGCATTTAAATACCGCATTTAAAATCTGATGAACTCAGTGTGCATCTGGACCGGGTGACGACAATACCTATTGACGCAGCAACCACTGTAAGTTATATTGTTGTTTAATTAGACTTCTCTGTTTCATTTATTCTACTCTGTATAATTGTTCTGTAGTTATTGTAGCTAAAACGGCGCTTTTGAGAGATTTTGAATCTCAGATCTGCTCAAGCGAAACCTGCTACACAGGTCTCAGTAGGGGCACTCAAGCCTGCATTACAATATAGGCAGGGCCAGTCTACTGATTGCGTGAAGTACAACAGCGTGACTCAGTCATCTTTCAGCTAAAAAAGCATTTAAATACCGCATTTAAAATCTGATGAACTCAGTGTGCATCTGGACCGGGTGACGACAATACCTATTGACGCAGCAACCACTGTAAGTTATATTCTTGTTTAATTAGACTTCTCTGTTTCATTTATTCTACTCTGTATAATTGTTCTGTAGTTATTGTAGCTAAAACGGCGCTTTTGAGAGATTTTAAATCTCAGATCTGCTCAAGCGAAACACAGGTCTCAGTAGGGGCACTCAAACCTGCATTACAATATAGGCAGGGCCAGTCTACTGTCGCCCATCAGCTGTAGAGAGTTAACTAATTAGAAGGGCGTGGCCCCACAGCTGTGAGAACTCAGCAATCAGGCGTCCATTTTAGGTAGCTCTTTCCTGGAGTGTCAGACAAAGACTGACAAAGACATTAGAGTCCTGCGGGAGTCACGAGGGAGGCAAAGAGGAGGCAAATCCTACTCTGATTGAGCTGGTGTCATATTTCTCTTTTCTTTAGTTTTCTAGCCCCGCATGCTATAATCATGTGTATTTTCTCCATTCCTGTTCATGTGTCTTCTCGCAATTATCACTGGCCCCGTGTATCTCCTAATCGCTATAACCGGCCTGCTCTCGTCTATCCCACATGCTCCACTGAGATCCATTATCTAGTTTCAGGTGGCCTGTGGAATTGCCAGTCAGCTGTTCCTAAGGCTGACTTCATCTCTGGCTACGCCTCCCTGCAGTCTCTGGATTTCCTTGCTCTCACTGAGACGTGGATTACTCCATCCAACACATCCACCCCAGCAGCTCTCTCCACAGCATATTCCTTCTCCCATACACCCAGACCCACTGGCAGAGGAGGTGGCACTGGTCTCCTGCTCTCTCCCAAATGGAGCTTTTCCCTCTTCAAGCTACCTAACTTCACTCCTTCCACCTTTGAATTCCATGCCGTCACAGTAACCCATCCTATACAATTAACCATTGTTGTTCTCTACCGTCCACCAGGCGCCTTGGGGGACTTCTTGGAGGAATTAGATAATCTCCTCTCACACATCCCTGAAACTGGCCCTCCCGCTGTACTTCTCGGAGACTTCAACCTCCAGACAGGGAAGATAGACGAACTAACATCTCTGTTAACCACCTTTGCTTTCTCACTGTCTCTATCCCCACCAACTCATAAAGCTGGCAATGTCCTTGATCTCATATTCTCAAGGAACTGCGCTACTTCTAACCTCTCTGTAAACCCGCTCCACACTTCCGATCACTTCTTCATTTCATTCTCTCTACCCCTTTCCAAACATAACAAACTAATCTCTTCTCATCCTGCACCTGTCCGCCGTAACCTTCGTTCCCTCTCCCCCCTCTACCTTTGCCTCATCGGTGCTCTCAGCCCTCCCTTCCTCGGACTCGTTCCAACTACTACCTCCAAACTCTCCTGCAGAAACTCTCCTCTCTACTCTCTCATCCATTCTGGACTCTCTCTGTCCTCTCACATCTCGGCAGGCTCGTCAGTCCCCTCCTGCTCCCTGGCTAAATGATGCACTGCGTGCTAATAGAACCGTCCTTAGGGCAGCAGAGCGGAAACGGTGGAAATCCAAACACTGTGACGACCTCTTAACCTATCAGGCTCTCCTCTCCTCTTTCTCTGCTTCGATCTCTCAGGCAAAAAGCACTTTCTTTCAAGATAAGATCCAATCTTCCTATTCCAATCCCAAAAAACTATTTTCCATCTTCTCCACCCTCTTGGACCCTCCAAAAGCCCCTCCCCCCTCCTCACTTCTGTCAAGCGACTTTGTTACCCACTTTGAAAAAAAGGTTGATAATATTCGCTCTTCTTTTTCTGACTCACCTTTACTCACCGCTGGGTCACCAGACCCTCCTTCCACCCACACACTAACCTCCTTTTCCCCTCTCTCTCCAAGTGAGGTTCTTACCCTCATTACCTCTGCCCGCCCCACCTGTCCTCTGGACCCTATCCCTTCAAACCTCCTTCAGACTATCGCTCCTGATATTCTACCGTTTCTCTCCCATTTCATCAACACTTCTCTAACTTCTGGTCACTTTCCAAACAGTCTCAAGGAGGCAAGAGTAAACCCTCTCCTAAAGAAACCCACTCTCAACCCGTCAGATGTTATAAACTACAGGCCTGTCTCTCTACTCTCGTTCCTGTCTAAATCACTTGAACGCGCTGTCTTTAAACAACTCTCCTGTTATCTCCATCAGAACAACCTTCTGGATCCGCACCAGTCTGGTTTCAAGGCAGGTCACTCCACAGAAACGGCTCTCATTGCTGTCACTGAGGAACTGCACACTGCCAAAACTGCATCCCTCTCCTCTGTCATCATCCTGTTGGACCTGTCTGCTGCATTCGACACGGTGAATCATCAGATCCTCCTTCGCACTCTCCAAAAACTTGGAGTTTCAGGCTCTGCACTTTCCCTCCTCACCTCATACCTCAAAGACCGTACCTACAGGGTGACTTGGAGAGGGTCTGAGTCCGACCCTTGTCAATTAACTACAGGGGTCCCTCAGGGCTCTGTTCTTGGTCCCCTCCTCTTCTCCCTGTACACAAACTCGCTCGGATCAGTCATTAGCCCGCATGGTTTTTCATACCACTGCTACGCTGACGACACCCAATTAATTCTGTCCTTTCCCCGCTCAGAGACCCAGGTCGTCGCACGCATCTCTGCTTGTCTAGCTGACATCTCTCAGTGGATGTCTGCTCATCACCTCAAGCTCAACCTTGACAAGACTGAACTGCTCTTCCTCCCGGGAAAAGATTGTCCCACTCTTGACCTAACAATCAACATCGGCACCTCAGTTGTTTCCCCGACTCAGACTGCAAGGAATCTGGGTGTGACCCTAGATAACAACCTGTCCTTCACTGCAAACATCGCTGCTACAACCCGTTGCTGCAGATACACGCTTTACAACATCAGGAAGATACGTCCCCAGCTGACACAGAAAGCGACGCAGGTTCTGATCCAGGCTCTCGTCATCTCACGCCTAGACTACTGCAACTCTCTCCTGGCTGGTCTACCTGCATGTGCCATCCGACCTCTGCAGCTCATCCAGAATGCAGCGGCTCGTCTGGTCTTCAACCTTCCTAAATTTTCTCACACCACTCCGCTCCTCCGCTCCCTTCACTTCCTACATCCAGGACATGGTTAAACCGTACACCCCAGCGCATGCACTACGCTCTGCATCAGCCAAACGACTCGCTGCACCCTCGCTGCGAGGGGGACCCAAGTTCCCATCAGCAAAAACACGGGGGTTTGCTATCCTGGCTCCAAGATGGTGGAATGAGCTCCCCATTGACATCAGAACAGCAGATAGCTTGCACATCTTCCGGCGCAAACTGAAAACTCATCTCTTTCGACTCCACTTCGAGCGATAGATTTATTAACAAAGCACTTATACTAATAAAGGACTGGCTTATCTAAAGCCAGTTGAGTAGCACTTGAAATGTTTGGCTCTATGAAACCTGATGTACTTATATGATTCTGTTTTCTTCAAGGTTGTGTCTTCCTGGTCGAATGTACTTATTGTAAGTCGCTTTGGATAAAAGCGTCAGCTAAATGCAATGTAATGTAAAATCGTTATAGTTACAAAACACATTCTTATCAAATCAGATGGGAAATACTGCTGCTCTCTAAAATCCAACAGGAACAGATGCATATCAATATATCTTTGCACTGTCTCCTTAACAAGATTAGAATAAAACCAGAATCCTTGCCATCCCTACTCAGAGACATCAGTGGGGGACATGGTGTTGCTAAGGAGCCACATAGATGGCACTTGAAGGAGTGTGATTATCAGCTGGCTGCTGGTTTCTCTCCCACAGGCCTCTTATGGTGCCAGAGATTATTGAGAGTGAATAAAAGCCTTTCACTGACACAATATAGTGTCAGTGACACTGCATGCTTTCCAATGAGAGGGGGTACAGGCTATCAGGCGATGACAGGAATGATGCTGATCAGACAGGGAGTCACCAGCTGTCAGGGAGCTAGCACCTCTTTTCCTTGTTTTTCAGTGGAGTTTGTTTTGTTCTGTCTTGGGATATTCAAAGGATTTCAACATTTGTGAGAGCAGTGATAATAATAATAATGATGTAGGAGCTTTAGCCTAGAACTAAAGCTTATATGTGATGGTGTTTTAACTCCTGGGAATGTCTTGGCTGATGCGCTGTACTGTGTATATGAATGTTTGTTTTGTTGTTGTTTTAATGAAGAATCGGAAGGCTCTTTATCAGGTGCAGAATAATCCATTTATTTTCCATTGTTGTGCATTGTGAAAGTAGAGTCCATTTCCATTCAATATTCATTCGACAAACAACCTGTGTGGTACACACACTCGTGGTCGAAAACCATTTGCCCTTCTAGGGTAAGACACACCCGATCATTTGACAACACACATTAAACACCTGTGCCCTAGGTAATAGGACAGCGACACCCAAAGGCACACAGTGAACAACGTCAATCGTTGATGACTTCAACCCAAACAGAACACTTAATTGAAATGGCTCTTATAAATAATAACTTATATAGTGCCTTTCATAAACCCAAGGACAGTGCTGTGATTGCAATAAGCTTAATATGTATATTATGTATAATACTGTGAAGTCTTTCTAACTGTGAGTGTGTCTCTATCCCTGCAGTGAGATTGGCACAGCGCTGCAGCACTCATACTTCGGCCCGGGGACCGTCTTCCACTATGAGCGTCTGGGTTGCCGTGGTAATGAGAATTCCCTAATGGAGTGCCGGAGCAGGAAGTTTGTCACCAGCGACTGCAACCATGGTAACGAAGCAGGGGTGATTTGTGCTGAACCTGAAGGTGAGACCTCAGGTTATTCAAACAAATCCATCACTGATGAACACTAACAGGTGTATTGTGGATATAAATAAGTAAAGGATAATGTGCGAGGCGGTCATAATGGGGAAATGGGGAGTAGCCCGAAGGCTTATCACACATACTAAACGTATGAACGACTCGACTCCCAATATTAAGCGAAATGATTGTATTGACTTTGAAATCATCGTATTTCTTCCATTAAGAAAAAATGCACAATATATATATATGGTATGATATGGCGTTTAATCACGGCAGCATTTAGCTGCATCTGAGCAGAGCAGACAGCTCGTCACAGAACTCACAGTGTGCCTGGTGCTCAAAATGGGGCGGGGCCAGCAGAGAATCAGCCATTCTCTAACAGGGCTGAAATAGAGGGATATGAGGGATGTCTAAAATGCATGATCTGTTTGGTATTTTGAGCAAAACATATAGACATGTTTTTTATATATTTTTATATATCTGATACCCGTAATATATGCCTAAAAATAGCATGATAGGAGATCTTTAAGTCATTGCACACGTTTCAAGTACAAATTATTAGTTTCCAGTATGGCCCATATCAGATTAAAAAAGATTACATTTATGTATTATAATTATTAATTCATTAATGTCAATGTTGCACTTGGTAAAGGTAGATATTATTTAAATTACTTATTCTGCTGAGTAGCTTAACATAATAATACATAATGATTCATAAGTTGCTTCATATCTTGTATTATAAATCCATACCTGCAAATTAGCTAGTCACTAAATCTGTAAAGAAATGTAGTGGAGTAAAAAGTTTTAAAAAATGCCACCAAAATGTAGTAAAGTAGAAGTATGAAGAAGCATACAGGTAAAACAAAATGTTACTTAAAGTGGACCTATCATGCTATATTTTAACAATATATTGTAGGGCCATACCTTCTATAAAGTATATAAATGTAGTTTTTTTTTCAAAATACCAAACAGATCCTACATTTTAGCCATGCCTCATTTCGCTCTATTTGCTCTTTACCAGACCTGTTTTTGCAGGGGCAGATTCTGTGACGTAGCTTTAATGCAAATGAGCTGCAGCTGACCATGCCCCCCTGCAGGAGAATAGAATAGCAAGCACACTCAGAATAAAGTATTATTTTATTTTTAAAAAACGTTTTCAGATTTCACATCACATAAACACCAAATCCCAGCATGCATTGCGGCTAAACCATCCAATCATCGAGCTGAGGATCTTGCCTACGTCTGTTTCCGGTTTAGTTTATGACGGATATATTTTGTTATACACACATTCCTTCACATTTACATTTTAATTTGCATTAAAGTATTTCGTGAGGCCTTCTAACATGTTTTTAAATATAACTACGGTTCTAGTTGAAGAGTTTGTAAATTAACATGAACCGAAGCTGTTGCCTGGCAACGCAATCGCACAACGTCACGTCCGTTAATTCCACATCCACACGTATTAACATTAACATCGATTTAATACATTAATGTAGCCTTTGTTTCTGCTAAAAGAGGTGTCGACCAGCTGGGGCAACAAGAAAATCGGCGAAATCGAGTGTGACTATGAAAAAAATAATAATTATTATATAAATATTGACAATAACAACCAACCGTCGGGGTAGCATTTGCTTGGCATTTCCGGTTATTTCTCCACTGGTTAACATGGGTTAACAATACCGTGTAACTGTCACGTTTGAAGGGACGAAATCGTGACATCTTCACGTCTCCCAGCATGGTAAATCGTCTACTTAGTACTACTACTTCTGAGCCATGGTTGTCCTAAGTTCATTTTTGATGCGTTTAAGCTGTGAAAAGGACCTCTCACCCTCGCAGTTGGTTACAGGCAGTGTGAGAAAAATCCTGAGCGCAACAAAAACATTGGGGAATGTTGTCTGTAGTCCATGTTTAAGCACCACCTGCAGTCTGTTTGCAGGAGTGTTATCTGGCTCTGTGCGGACAAAAGCCCTAAACTGGATCAGCTCATCTCCTAATGACTTATCCAAGTCAGTCGGATATGACGAGGAGAGAATATTGGCCCGTCAGCGGAGATCAGTGTCATCACAGCACATGTCAAATAGGACTCCAAAGTGATCATGTATGTCTTTGTATGCATCCAGGCGTTTGCTAAGTCCTGAGAACAACCTGTCAATAATTACATTGAATGTCTCAACCTGGACATTTTTACTGCCAGTCAGTACCACCTCGTGCTCCACTGTCTCGTCATTAAATACTCGTCTTTTACCAACACGGTGAGTCTCGTGCTGGTATGTCTGTGTCACGCCGGTGACGGCCCAAGCAGATGTTTCAAAGTCCGAAAATGTCCCTCGTAGTGATGTAACATAAGTGCACAGCGATTCCAAAAGTCGCACAGCGGTCATTAGCCTGTTAGACCCCAAGCCTGTTTTTCAGGTCTCAGGCTCGAAAATGACATTCCCAGAACAAATGACCATATCTTCCCTTCTAAAAGGGTTAAATTAATAATCTTTTTCCTCAAAGTAATGATAAACCTGTGAGTTGGATGTAGAAAAGTCAGAGTCAATATAGATGTTTTTTATTTTAAAGAAAATTCAGATTGAACATGGTAAAAAACTGTAAATTATAGTGTCCGTCCAAAAATTATTTTGTACTTATAGTGAAAACTAACTAAAAGCTTTAGGAATCCAAATTACAACATATAATAAGTACCCTGTATCAAGATTGATCCAAAACAAGTGACATTTGACCTTTTTAGACAGGTTTAGCAAAACAAACTCCACCTCTGAGGTGATTTGGGTGGAAACGGGGGTTTTACTGTTTCTCTGGAACCCATTGGTCGATTTTGGTGATTGACATCTCTTTCTGACCGTTAGAGCCAATAGAATCGAAGGGGAATTTCCACATACACACCAACGTTAACAAAAAAAGGTGGGGGCTTCACACATGCAGTTTTGGCCAGAGCGAACCTAGCTCACGCTCTGACATCTGAAAATGGAAAAGTCGGTTTATTGCCAGTGTTGGGTGTAACGCGTTACAAACGGAATTACAGTAATATATTACTTTTTGCTGTAACGAAGTAATGTAACGCATTACTTATGAAATGTGGGTAATATATTACCAGTTACAATGCCCAGTAACGCAGTTACAACACATTTCAACCCGAAATGAAATGGTGTTTTATTTTTTAAGAATGTACTAACATAGCGAGACATTCCGACACCAAACAAATTGTGTGGGTAGATTAGTAAACCTGGTGTGTTTACCCTTCAGGCTTCACGTCGGGATCTTCGGGGCAGTTGAATGTTATGCACCCTCTATTAAAAAAAGGGAACGGAGCGAAAAAATACAAACAACAAATTGTGTCAGGTGCGCGTGACCTGCTCCGCTGCGCGTGCATCATTTCCAAAGTGCTTCCACAGCAGTGACACACATCTGTGGATAATCATTTATACGAGAATGGTTAAAGCAACCATCACTAAACGCCAGCATCACTGCCTCTACTGCAGACAGTAGCAACAGGTCAGATGGGGACATCACGTGACCCTCCGTTGTGGACACTAGCTAACTCCCGCCTGACTCGCCGCCCTCGCCCCCGGAGCAGCAGTCTTCGTCTCCCCAAACTATACTAAATACAAGTTGTTAGTAGCCTTAAGGGCCTACACAGTTGTTATGCTATACCACATCGCCCTCCACTGGATGTATAATGAGCTGCACTAAACTACATTTTAGCATTTAAAATACCTAGCCATTCTTTTGTGGTTATTTTGGTGAAAGTAACTCAAAAGTAACTAAAGTAGTGTAACTCATTACATTTCAGAGACAGTAATATTGTAATGTAACTTATTACTTTCAAAAGAGAGTAATAAGTAATATGTAATATATTACATTTTGAAAGTAACTTGCTCAACACTGTTTATTGCTTATGGATTATCAGAAATTTCAAATTTCAAAGGGACACAGACACATTGGATTAACCTATGGATTAACCTTCACCAGCATTTTTATCGTTTTAATGCCATTGAAGACCACTTTTGACCAGACAACGACAAAGGTAATCCATTTTGCCGTTTTAGCTGTATGTGTTTTGATGTCTGTTTTTGTTTATAAAGTCGCGAGTTCTTATCATAGAGTGATGATGTATGTACACATCGATTCTGTGTCTCCTCACGATGTGAATCGATGGGTTGGGTGTGCTACTAAGTAATAGGGTGTTATGAGTGAGTTTCTGTGAAAAACGGCGTTAGCATTTTTTCGCTCGTGGCTAATTCAGAGGCTGGGCGTTAGCTGTGTGGGTTTTTTTTCCAAAAAAAAAGAAAAAAGATCTGTTAGCTGAGTTTCTTCCTGTTACATGGATATAAAACATTAATAGTTTATTCAATATTAAGAAGCCCTCAGACGCTGTTACCTGCAGATGATTTAATTGGTGCAGTACAGTGTCCCACAATATTGTCAGCAGAGCAGTCCCAAGTTTGCCACACAGCGCAGAGGCCTCTCGCCGTGTGTCCTGGCACTCTTCGTCATCAGCCGCCAACATTTGTAAAGCCCCTCTTATTGCAGTGTAATTCTCACAAAGAGCTCTTGTGGAGTCTCCTCTGCAGCTCCATCTTGTACAGGAGAGAGATTTTAGCGTCAGTGTGACGTTTTCAGTGAACACTTTATTCCATCGGTGGGTAGAAGCAGAGCAAAAAGCATAAAGTGCATATAAAAAAACTGGCTTGCTTCACGACAACTATTTTCAACACAGTTGACACCAACCAAATTCAAGGAGTGTGCTGCGCACGGAATGTAATGTATGAGTGGGTTGTTTTTCTTGAGATGAACTTGCAGCCCATTATATTTTCCTGACATGTTGGATGCGTTGTCATAAGCCTGGCCACGGCAGTTTGAGAGATCCAGCCCCATATCAATGACCATCTTCATCACACAGTCAGCCAGACTTGACCCGGTGTGACTGTGAATGGGTTCAAATCCAATAAATCTCTCAATAACTTTTCCTTTCTCACTCACAAATCGGAAAACGTTAAAGTTAATTGGTCGACGTGAGACATGTCAGGTGTAGAATCTACGATGACAGAGAAATACCTTGCTCGCTGTAGCTCTGTTGCTGTTGCGTCCTTTGTTCTGTCACCTATCAAACCAATAAACTCCTCACAGATTGATGACAAGTATGAAGTCCTACCACGTCCCTTCTGGCCAAACTTCTGCAAATGACCCTTTAGAAATGGATCAAACTGCGCGAGCAGCTCCAGGATTCCCAGGTAGTTCCCGTTATGTGCGGATCCTAAAAGTTCATAATTTCCCTGGAAAGGAAGCCCCCTCTAACTCAAGAATGTAATCACCGCAACTACACGTCTCAATACATCCTTCCAGTCAGGGCCGGCCCTTGGCACTGGCAAACTCGAACCTTCACCCTGCTCTGTGACGTCCTCGTCAGCCTCGTCTTCATCTTTTTCCTCCTCTTCAACCCGCTGCGTTAGCATGCTAGGTTCAAGACTAACATTGCTTGCTAGCTCAACAACATCCTCCTCCGCCGCCACTGTTTCTTGTGGTGGTTGCTGGCCTATTTTGTAACTTTTAGCTTTTTCAAAAAGCTATTTATTGTTGGCACGTTTTTTAATGCACTCTCTCTTCTTTTTCTTTCTTTTCGCAGCCCCGCTGGGCGTTTGGCTACCGGCACCATCCATTTTTTCTGAGGGTGGGGCTGTGATTCGGCTATACACCGCCGCCGCGTAGTAATAAAGTTCAGCACATACATAGTGAGACTTACAGTACAGAGACGGTTTAGAAAATATATTAATTTGACCCTATAGAAAAGCTGTGTTATTTATAGCGAAGAGTGAGTGTCATTTAAAACAATGTATGATGAGTGAGGTTGTGCCCAAAAATATATAATATATACTGAGGGCCGTCTTTGCTCAAGGGCCCCTGGGCACTTGCCCAGGTTGCCCATATGGTTAATCCGGCCTTGGCCAGAGACTGGCGACCCCTGTCGCGGGAATATCTCCGCAATGGAGCGAGCTTAAGTTTAAAACAATTGATAAAAAAATAAATGTCAATTATTATTTTGTAATCATCTCGCGACCCCCACTTTGGGAACCCCTGCTCTACAGTTCAGAGGTAAATGGTGTACTTGTACTCCACTACATGTATTTAATACCTTTAGTTACTTCACAGATGTGGATGAATTATGTGAAATGTAATCAAGTGTTGAATCAGACTTTAGTTCCACCTGGAGTAAATCCACCAGCTACCCTGCAGTATACAAAGCCATTCAAACTAGCTGCACCTTTACCAGCTTTGAGAACACTTTCATGATCAATCATTATAAAACATATCATATATATTATTCTGAAATGGACCAATCTGCACAATGACTACTTTCACTGTCGCTACTTTGACTATATTTTGATGAGAATACTTTTCTACTTTTACTTGAGTAACTTCTTTGAATGCAGGACTTGTACTGTAACAGAGTATTCCTACACTCTGATACTTCTACTTGATTTTAAGTACAAGATCTGAGTACTTCTCCCACCTCTGGTGATAGAGCTTGGGCCTCTTTGGAGTCATAACTGTCCTGACAGGGTCTCAGTTTGCAGGCTCTGAAATGTCTCCTGTGGTCTTGGCTCAGTTGTTGCTTCACTTTGTTCCTCAGGCACTGGTCTCCCTTTGAGGCTGGTGGGGGGGCTGGAGGACTTTGAAGGCCGTGTGGAGGTGTACAGGGACGGCAGGTGGGGAACCATCTGTGATGACCGCTGGGATGACATTGATGCTGAGGTGGTGTGCCGCCAGCTGGGCCTGGGGTAAGAAACCCCTGCTGTGCTCCTGCATGACCTAATGGCCTCTGTCCTCAGCTTCAGTCTGAATACATGCTAGACAGAAAAGCCAGGAGGTAAACCTGCCTACAGACACAAGAAGCAATCATACACTTACTGTATCAATATATTGTGAACAAAATAGCAGTGTCTAAATCAAAAGTGAATATCTGATACACTTCATGACAATGATGAGCAACACTTTATTTGATCCGTTTTTACTCTTAAACTCAACTATCTTACTGAGCAGTGGAATGAGAAATATAAATTACAGATACAAAAAACTCAATGTAAACTATTGAAATATTTAACTGAAGAGAAACCACAAACAGAATAATTATAAGAACACTGTGAAACCATCAGGACACAGCTGGAAAAATAATATTTTCTCCTTAAACCTGTACCGTATTCTCATGAGGTAGTTACATATTTTAGCATATATATTATACACTGAACAAAAATATAAACGCAACACTTTTGTTTTTGCTCCCATTTTTCATGAGATGAACTCAAAGATCTAAAACATTTTCTATATACACAAAATAACCATTTCTCTCAAATATTGTTCACAAATCTGAAAAAATCTGTGATAGTGAGCACTTCTCCTTTGCCGAGATAATCCATCCCACCTCACAGGTGTGGCATATCAAGATGCTGATTAGACAGCATGATTATTGCACAGGTGTGCCTTAGGCTGGCCACAATAAAAGGCCACTCTGAAACATGCAGTTTTGCTTTATTGGGGGGGTCTGGGGGGGTCCGAAAACCAGTCAGTATCTGGTGTGAGGGGTAGGATTAGGGTTAGGGGTAGGGTTAGGGTTAGGGTAATGTTGTGAATCGAGTGGCCTGTGTTCGTCGTCCATAACATACGCCTGCCCATACCATAACCCCACCACCACCATGGGCCACTCGATTCACAACATTACCCTAACCCTAACCCTTTCATGTGTTTTTCCCCTGACCAACAGGGGCGTGGCCAAGGCGTGGACATGGGCCCACTTCGGCCAGGGGGCAGGTCCCATCTTCCTGGATGGGGTTGAGTGTTCGGGCAATGAGCTCTCCCTGGAGGAGTGTCCTCATAACATGTGGGAGAGACACAACTGTGACCACATGGAGGATGCAGGGGTCTCCTGCAACCCTCACACAGGTCAGAGAACACACACTGTCATCAGACTGGGATCAATCCTGTCCATCAAAATATACTTAAAGAGCCACAAATAAAAGTAGTCATTGTGCAGATTGGTCCATTTCAGAATAATATATATGATATGTTTTATAATGATTGATCATGAAAGTGTTCTCAAAGCTGGTAAAGGTGCAGCTAGTTTGAATGACTTTGTATACTGCAGGGTAGCTTGTGGATTTACTCCAGGTGGAACTAAAGTCTGATTTAACACTTGGTTAGATTTCACATCATTCATCCACATCTGTAAAGTAACTAAAGGTATTACATACATGTAGGGGAGTAAAAGTACACCATATACCTCTGAACTGTAGTGGAGTAGGAGTACAAAGTAGCAACAAATGAAATACTCAAGTAAAGTACAGGTCCCTTCAAATTGTATTTAAGTACTGTACTTGAGTACATGGACTTAGTTACTTTTCACCACTGTATAAGAATGAAAGAAAAGGTTAGAAAACAGCATAATTTCTACTGAGGGTATATACGCAGTAACCCTCGCTGTGATAGAAGAGCAGCTATAGGTGTCCCAAACAAGAGTTGTGATTGGCTGGTAGAGAATCCTAGGAACTGTTCTCTGCAGGGTTGGGTACACAAGTTGTTGAGGTCACATGTGGGTCATTAGTTCATGGCTGTCATTAAAGAGTCCCATGATGTGAAGTGGGCCAGCGAGGAGATGTCAGGACTGCAATGCTCTGTTCACACAACAGACTGCCCTGACTCTTCTTTTTACAGTTCTAGTGTAGAGAATAGGAGAGCTGAGGCAACAATCAGCTTTCTCTCCTCCTCATCTGCTCTGTAACATTGTGGAGTGGAGGGGAAAACAGATGAAGAAGCCTGTAAAGGCTGTTGCTGCTTCGGGGCTACTTTTGAATCTTGTGTCGTGCTGATCTGCACCAGGATGTTGTGAAAATCAGAATCAGAATATCTTTATTGTCGTCATACATAGGTATAATGAAATTGTGTTGGCATCTCTAACTGCAGTAATCAAATAGACACAAATAAATAAAAACAGTGATAAAAGCAGAGGTGAGCCATGACAATGCACTGCAATAACATTAAATGTCAATTTACATACTATGTAAATTTACTAGGGCTGTTAAGTTAACGCGTTAATAACGCGTTAACGCAAACAAAATGTAACGCTACTAATTATTTTAACGTGCGATTAACGCATATAATATATATAACTGGAGTTTCAGGCTCTGCACTTTCCCTCATCACCTCATACCTCAAAGACTGCACCTACAGGGTTACTTGGAGAGGGTCGGAGTCCGACCCTTGTCAATTAACTACAGGGGTCCCTCAGGGCTCTGTTCTTGGTCCCCTCCTCTTCTCCCTGTACACAAACTCGCTCGGATCAGTCATTAGCCCGCATGGTTTTTCATACCACTGCTACGCTGACGACACCCAATTAATTCTGTCCTTTCCCCGCTCAGAGACCCAGGTCGTTGCACGCATCTCTGCTTGTCTAGCAGACATCTCTCAGTGGATGTCTGCTCATCACCTCAAGCTCAACCTTGACAAGACTGAGCTGCTCTTCCTTCCGGGAAAAGATTGTCCCACTCTTGACCTAACAATCAACATTGGCACCTCAGTTGTTTCCCCGACTCAGACTGCAAGGAATCTGGGTGTGACCCTAGATAACAACCTGTCCTTCACTGCAAACATCGCTGCTACAACTCGCTGCTGCAGATACACGCTTTACAACATCAGGAAGATACGTCCCCAGCTGACCCAGAAAGCGACGCAGGTTCTAGTCCAGACTCTTGTCATCTCACGCCTAGACTATTGCAACTCTCTCCTGGCTGGTCTACCTGCATGTGCCATCCGACCTCTGCAGCTCATCCAGAATGCAGCGGCTCGTCTGGTCTTCAACCTTCCTAAATTCTCCCACACCACGCCGCTCCTCCGCTCCCTTCACTGGCTTCCGGTAACTGCTAGAATCCACTTCAAGACAATGGTACTTGCGTACCATGCTGCGAATGGATCTGGCCCTTCCTACATCCAGGACATGGTTAAACCGTACACCCCAGCACGTGCACTCCGCTCTGCATCAGCCAAACAGCTCGCTGCACCCGCACTGCGAGGGGGACCCAAGTTCCCATCAGCAAAAACACGTGGGTTTGCTATCCTGGCTCCTAAATGGTGGAATGAGCTCCCCATTGACATCAGGACAGCAGAAAGCTTACACACCTTCCGGCGCAGACTGAAAACTCATCACTTTCGACTCCACTTCGAGCGATATAATTATTAACAGAGCACTTATATACTAATAAAGGACTGGCTTGCCAGTTGAGCCAGTTGAGTAGCACTTGAAATGTTTGGCTCTATGAAACCTGATGTACTTATATGATTCTGTTTTCTTCAAGTTTGTATTTTGTTGGTCGAACGCACTTATTGTAAGTCGCTTTGGATAAAAGCGTCAGCTAAATGCAATGTAATGTAATAACTTTGGTGAGCCCTCTGCTTTTCAATTCAGTTGCATCTGACTTATCTTCTGACTGACAATCCTCCCATATTGTGATCTTAAATCTGAATGTGTTGCTCTGTGTGTCAGCAGACGGTGCGGTGCGCCTGGTGGGAGCAAACAGTCCCTGGGAGGGCCGGGTGGAGATCTACCATCATGGGGAATGGGGCACAGTGTGTGATGACAGCTGGACTGAAGTCAACGCCCGGGTGGTGTGCAGGCAGCTGGGCTTCAGGTCAGTGCAGCACCATGCTACACCTCTGGGCCTCAGGACACATGTACTACCCTGTGAGCTGATATCAAGATAAAGTAAAGATGCAATAAAGCACTGAGGAAATAACATGAGAGTAATGTTTTAAACCCCAAAGATTGAATAACAAACTGACATGTTTGCTATTCTCAGAGCCTTAAAAGTCCATCCATTTCCCCCTTATCTGGTGGAAGCAGGCTAAGTAAGCTAGTCTTTGTGCCCCCCAGCCCCGCCTCACCAGCCAGCATGTTCAGGGTCTGCACAGGGGTCTTCTCAGAGTTGAATGTGCCTGGGATACCTCCTCAGATATGAGTCTATAAAGCGTCCTGATCAAATGCCCAAACAAGCTAAAATGGCTCCTTCCAGCCAGTGTAGGCATTTATTCTCAGTCCTGCATCCTTACTTCCTACCTCAGCCTTCTAAATTCCTCATCTGACCTTAAGAAACCCTGCAGGGGAATTGAACAGATTCTCCTTGATCTCATTCATTGGTCCTCACTCACAGTTCATGATCGTTGGTTCATAGATCAAATAATTAATCGAGAGATTGTGTAACTAAATTCAAAACGTTCCTTTCTCTGGGCTGCGTGAAAGAGTTCTGATACCTATCCATACCATTAATGAATGTATTTTTTAAAGTAGAAGTGTAGGTTTTAAACAGTACATACACTTAAACTGATACTGATGTTTTTAGTTGTCTAAAATAAGTTAAATTGCTGCCACCCCACAGCCGTACATTGCCTATCTTCAATGCTGGTCCTCTTGTGTTTCTATAAACTGCCAGTGTAGGTGTTACTCTATGGATGAGTTTCTCATAGAAACACACTTCAAACTGTCCAAACTAGCCCTTTAAGTTTACGCATGGAGATGTACCGACCACATAATACAGGGAGCAGTGGTGAGTGGGGGCCTCATGACTTGTAATGAACTTGTAATGAACACCAATGCTCAATTGAGTTCAGTAGTTGTAATGTTAAATGGCCTTATAGGTCAAAGGGGTTCGCAGAGGTGCTTTAGGTACTCTGGCACCATCTGTGTTGCTTGGATCCAGAACATTAAAGAGTGTGTTGTTGACAGTCATACAAAATCAAAATGCTGATTTAAATTAATTTACTTCACCAACTGAGATCCGCCTGCAGGGGATGGTTTCAAAGAAAACACGCTCACTCAACATTTACAGTGGAACATGGTTGCAATTTTCGGATTAAATGATTGATTGGATGAAAATGTTTATGACTAATACATTTATGAAAACAAACTCATACTCACAGATACAGTATGTACACATACGTTTCATCACCATCCACCAATATGCAAAGGCTTTAAGCCTTGTCTATAGAAAACCATTTGCTTCCTTCAAATCCTGGAGATGGAATTAAACTGATTCTGCAATATTTTGTAAAATTAACTATTTCTGTTATAACAGATCAGTCATTTCTGCAACCAATCTACAGATTTTGAAAACATAGTATTTGTTTTTGTTTGATTTTGTTTAATGTAGGTATAATCAGGGGTACACATAACTGGTACGCAGGTACGCATGCGCGGCAAAAATCGGAAATGCATAACATCACTTGTGTCACTACGCGCCTTTGCTTACCAACGGACCTGTGAAGCTTTTCCAGGAGGCTTGGACCACTGGATGACTAAGTTGGTGCCGTGTGCACAGACGGGGCTGCTGTTAACGTCGGTATGTACAACGGAATTGTACCAAAACTACGCCAACTGGCTGCGGTGGGAGACTCCCCTGTGCACTTTCTGTGCCCCGCACACACACTGGAGAACTGCGCAAAATCACCAGGGGTCTCATTTATAAAGGGATATATAAATCCCTTTATAAAATGATCAGTTAGATGAGTTTCTTTCCGTTACATGGATATAAAACATTCATAGTTTATTAAATGAACATGCCCTCAGACACTGTTTCCTGCAAGATATTGCAGGAGGCCCCCGGAACTGGGGTCTCTCGGGCTTAACAGGTTTTAACAAACGCCTGTTTGAGACTCCTCAGTGCACACAAAAACATAACTTGGATAAATAAATAAATACGGAAATGTTATTGATCACCCCTCGATTATGTTCTCTTGTTAAGAAATGTATTCTCATAAATGATGCGGTAAGCAGAAGGACAGAATTACTTTAAACTGATGCCGTTTTGCATTTCTATAGGTCAGTGGTTCTCAAATGGGGGTACGCGGGAGTAGGCTACTGCAGGGGGTACGTGAGATGTATTTTATGTTAATGAAGACAAAAAAAACATAAGTAATGCATTTAAACAAACTACTAATAGTAGATTAACTACTTTATTCAAAGGTTTACAGAAATTCTGGATAATAAAATAGGAAAAATAAACAGTGTGCTCTCTTTTCCTCTCCCTCTCCTGACAGCCCGTCAGTCTCGTGCAGCTCGCTGAACCTGTAATAAATGACCCGACAGTAAATAATACACATATTTATAACTAGTATAGCTAGTTCCAGAGTAAGTGTGTTAGGTCTAACTCTTAGTGTATTTAATTTTGCTCCACTCAACTGTCCGCGGCGGGGCTGTGATCATGCAGAGCTGCATGTTCTCCGTCAGCAGCAGCTGATCTGATCTCTGATCTCTCTCTCGCGTCCGGTTATACTTCACTCGCGTTTATGTCCAAATCTAGCTAGTTCTAGCTAATGATATGATTGCCTGCTTATCAAAGGACACCTTAACAATAAGCGTTGCTTGGCAACGGCGTGTGGCCGCAAAGTATAGCGCAGCATTATGCATATATGAGGGGTCAAAATCCCATGCTCATAAAATGCTCATATATATGTTTCTCTTCATTCCCCACGCCCACAAATAAATAAATATTCAAATTTTAGGAAAAGTAAGGAAGTTTGAGCAGTGTGGGTTTTATATGAACAGAGTTACACATATGTCAAAACGCGAAGTGTAATATCTGCAGTTTGCCTCCCTGTCAGAATGACAAAGATCCTCAGTGAAGCACAAGCCCATATTTCTCACTAAATTGTAAGTACAACTTATTAAAAAGATCAGTTCAATGCAACTAATGTCGTCTTAGTGTTATTGCATGATGTTAAAATTGGTTTGCCATGAATTTAGTGATGGATTATAAGCATTTGAAATGTAGCATTTAAGTGTTTCTCAGTTACAATGTTGTTGTTTTAATAAATCAGACACTGATGGTGCAGCGCTGTACTGTACCTCTTTATATAGGCATTTTTTCCTTAACAAAATGTTTTTGCGCTGATCAGGGGGTACTTGGCTGAATTTATTTTTTCAAAGGGGGTACATTATTGAAAAAAGTTTGAGAACCACTGCTATAGGTTGTATAGATACGAGCATGGTTTTATATATTATCATGTTTAATCATGTTTTATGCCGTTCGCCAATAGCCTACTTGATAAGTCGCTCGTAAAACACAGGAGGTATGGAAACTAACAACACCATATGTGGTCAATTGTACAGCTAATACAGTGGTTCTCAAACTTTTTCTGTCAGGCAAAAAAAAAAATTCGGCCCCCCCCCAACACAAGTCAGGCTCAGTGGCGGCGCCAGAGATTTCTTTTGGGGGTGCTGTGGGGTAGCTTGACGTTTCATAGAGGGTGCTCAAACATTTAGGGTTTCCCATTAATGTACCGGGCGCTACAGTGGAATGTTCTACTGCAACAATCCCCACACGCATATACACAGTGTACCCGCGACTGTTACAATGAAGGCTCGATATCAGCTCACGGCATATGAGCAGGGGTAAAGTGCTATTTGTATTGGTGGTGTGTGGACCTCACATAGGGGGGTCCGGGGGCAAGCTCGTCCGGGAAGATTTATTTTTAAATATTGAAGTTAAAAGCATCAATCTGGTGCACTTTGAGAGCAAAATGAAGAGATCTATGGATACATCTCTCAACACCCATATAAAACAGAACTGTAAATGATTTACTTTTTCTTTATGGATATTTTACAAATCACCCTTTTAAACGTTATTCTTGTTTTACTGTCATAGTATTTCATACCTGTTTTTCATTTATTCTCTTATTTTTTTATAACTATAATGATCATATAAACGTGTGCCTCGGAAATAATTGTTTACATTAATCGTGACCAAAACGTTTGAGACCCACTGAGATAACACTGAGAGTCCTTTAGTTCACTGAGCCTCTCAGTCTGACAGGAGAGGACTCTCCACTTTGTTGTTGAAAAAGCTCCTTATATCCGTTAGCGTAGCTCGCTAGCACCAGAAGCTAACAACAACGATCTCCGGTACCGGTGCGCTCTCTCTCTCGCTCGCGCACACAAAATGGCTCGTTTCACACACACGCAGAGCCGAGCTTTAATGAAACACAGAGACCCAGACGTAATAGCATCATATTATTTTCGAATAAATAATTTTTCAATTTATGATTTTTTTAAATCTTTTTTTTATTTTTTATAATCATTTTCCCTCCTGGTCTCTCATGCCCCCCCTGGCATGCCTCTGCACCCCCCACTTTGAGAACCACTGAGCTAATATAACACAACACATTAGTTGTATTTCCTTTAACTGGTGGATTATGGATATACAGTACTCGAGTTGAGGGGGGATGAGGGGGGATGACATCCCCCCTGAAATAAAAACGGTCAAAATCATCCCCCTTCTAAAACTGCCATTCCCCTTTTCCATCCCTTATGTAATTTTATCAATGAACGTGGCACTGGTATTACTGCTATTTCAACATTAATTTTGCGCATTTTGAGTAAAATACTGTGGGCGAGGGAGCACGCACACACGCAATGACATTTTTACCAAGTCACTGACGCTATACTATGCGAGTGCCCTAGAGGGCGCCAGAGCGCCGTGATGCGCCTGTTTGATCGATGCCAGAAGCGCAGGTAACGGTCATCACAATGGCCAAGCGACCAGGAGGACAACGCGATCTGAGGGACTTCATATTTAAAAATACTAAAAATAACATTTCAGGTAAGTCAAGAGTCAGTAATCTTAGCAGGGGCGGATCT